TTATGTCGGGGATTACGAGGGAAACAACTTTAACCTTTAAGGTACCAGGAAAATCCAAACCTGAACTCAAAGCCCAAACTCAAAAACGGTCGGAATCGGCTTCTAAAAAGGGGGAAAGGTCCGCCTCGCCAAGGCCTACGATAAATGCTAAGGCACTACGACATTTTTCACGAGGGAAGAATGTGCAAAAGAAGGTGGCAGCCCCTTGGGTTGCCATAGCTGCTACTGTTTGGCTAAGAAGAAGGGAGGAAAATGTTTTAATTTTTTTATAACCCCCTATTTATAGTAAAACCTTAAAAGTGCCTCGAAATTGCCTCGCCGGGTCTGAAAAAGTGGAATTTAAGCAGACGCGCTCAAACGGCAAAACACCATGAATGAAAAAGAACCAAAATGAAAAAAAATAAATAAATAATGAATAATGGAAGAAATAACGTCAAAAACCGAGTCCTGTGCAGAGAGTTATGCCCCGAATAAGTTCGGCGCTAACCGGGGCCGAAAACCTGAAAACTGCAAGGAATGACTAGCAACCAATCCTAAGAGTTCATGACTCGATGAAATATGAAAATGAATCCCGTACGAGGATCCATACTCAAAACGAGGCATTTTGCAATAACTTTCGTTAATTGCATAATGACCCTTACAAAAAGGGATAATTACAAAACTACCCGGAATGAAAATATCATCTGAAAAACCCCTGAAATAAATATTTTCAAAATATATTTACTAAAAAAACCCAAAGAAATATCAATATTTCTAAAGAATCCTTTCATCCATGCCCTTGCGGGAGAAGAAAACAACAGACGAGCTTTTCTCCAAAAGTAAAGCTACGCCTTTCGAGAAAATCAACTTGAATGAAAACTCGTGAAGTCAAAACTCAACTCCGAACATGAAAAGTGAGGTTATGCCAACCAAGTGACAAACGGGGAAAATGACGAAAAATGAATAGTGTCGAAAAACGAAAAATGTCGAAATGACGCAGTCCTTTTAGGAAGTTGTAAATCCAAATGAAAGAGTCTCGGAAACCATTTCCAAGCACTCGAGACGACACTAAATGACGAGCAACCAAACTTAGAAAAGTAAGGAAGAAAAATGTATCCGTAATAATCTGAGAAAAAAGAAAGGAAGAAAAATGATCGAGTCGTTACAGATTAGGGCAGCGTGATTTTTTAAATTACATGGGCCCTACCCTATCTAAAAGGAGGCCTAATAAATGCCTCTTAAATGACCTAAGGCTATAAAAGGAAAGAATGGAAAAAGATTACAGGCATGCTGTTCGGACCATACACTCCAGGTATCATCTCTTCTACCATCACTCCAGTCCTCGCATTGGGCTAGCTTTCCCCCCCTTCCTCAATTCTTCCGCTTTCCTCACATTGTTTTAAGTGATATATCCCCGACCCTTTGATTTTTCAACCATATTGTAGAAACAGGTATCTACAAAGGGTTTATCTATTTGTTTTAAAGGTTTTATGAACGCCAATATTGACTTTGTTGGTGTAAACCATGGTTATCAAAATCGTGATTTTACGATTCTAGTTACCCAAAATCATTAGATCGTATAAAAATCGAAAGTAGAATCAGTGGAATCGTTCATGAAATCGTAGAATCTTACAATTTTACCGATTTTGGACGATTCTGTTGTATCACAGGGCTTTGTTTTATGGGGTTGATATACCTTGTTCGGCCTTTATTGAGGGGTTGGATATTTTTAATAAGAAGGGTAATTAACACAAACCTCCCCTATGATTTGCAATAATTACAAGGACCTCCCCTCCTATTTCGAAAATTACTCGGACCTCCCCTAATTTTGAAAATATTCTACACGGACCTCCCTTCTGTTAGAGTCAATGACAGTTAAAGACAGAAAGTGATGACGTCATGTACAAATTTTACTAGAATCCTTGAAATACCCTTGCCTTTTTATAATTACATATTATAGGTAAAATATATATAAATATATGGGTAATTTACACAAACCTCCCCTATGGTTTGCCATAATTATAGGGACCTCCCCTCCTATTTGGGAAATTATTCGAATCTCCTCTACTTTTAAAAATATCCTACATGGACCTCCTTTCAGTTACGATCAATGCCAGTCGACGACGAAAATTAATGACGTTAGTTACTAATTTTATTAAAATTTTTAAAATATCCTTGTCTATATAATTACATATTATAAATATACTTGAGTAATTTATTATACTTAAATTTGTGAGAACAATAGACTGTAGGGACAATTCGTTCTCAGTGAGTTCTTGGAATACTTAAAGTTCCTTTTTTATTTATTTTTTAATTATGGTTTTTCTCACACAAACTCTAAATTTCATTTTATTTTGATTCTGGTGATTTATATTTAGTGAAAAATTCTAGGAAATTCTTGATCAGAGCGAGATAGGATGTGAAAGAGTAGAGATTGCTTGAAAAGTTCATTCAATGGTTAAGTTGGGGATTTTGGATGGATCCGAAGCCTGTAGTGCTTGATATAAGCTCGGACGAAGAGGGTTGTGGTGGCGGCGACGACTATGATTGGATATCAGAGTTTCTTGAGGACGATGATAATGTGGTATTGGTGGGTGAGGTTATGGCGAACCCTAAACAGAGATTGAAGTCATCGGTTAAAGACTTGGATGATGACTGTGTGATTTTGGATTGTGACTTGGATAAGCCGGTTGCAATTGAGAATGATAAGGCGGGTGAGGCGGATTATGCTTGTTTTAATTCCGTTATTGTTTTGTTTTATATTAATTTTCTTAAATTAATTTAAGAATTGATCTGATATTTATACCGGAGGGCATTGCAATTTGCAACCACCGTGCAATTCTCTTATGAAATCATTAGGAGACCTGGTGGTGGAGATCTAGCCGGCGAAAACCCTCATTCGTGTCTAAAACGTGGCTCTCTCTCTCATCTCCAGTCATTGATTCTCTCTCCAACTCTGGCCCAACAGCAACAACCCAAAATTATTTGGTTTTTATTTTAGAAATCAAAATTGAGAGTAAAAATATTGATAAGGTTTAATCTTTATGGTCGATGCTTGTTTTAATTTCGTTATTGTTTCGTTTTATATTAATTTTCTTAAATTAATTTAAAAATTGATCTGATATTTATACCGGAGAAGCAAGAATCGCCGGCGAAATCCCTCATTCGTGTCTAAAACGTGGCTCTCTCTCTCATCTCCAGTCATTGATTCTCTCTCCAACTCTGGCCCAACAGTAACAACCCAAAATCTAAGGCATATCTTCTTCACCTGTAGATATCGAACTGAAATCAATTACTTTAATGGAGTCCTGTAATCCTACTGTAATGGAGTCCTTCTGTAATACTACTAATGGTGGAGAAAACAAGTACATAAATCGAAAAGAATAATATATATATATGACGTCAGCTTATGGGTATTTTAGTAATTTCAGATGCTAATGAAAGAGTATTTCAATAATTTTGACAACTCCTTTAGTGTATTTAACAGTCCGTCACACACAAGGAAGGTTCGTGTAGATTATTTTTATTTTTAGGAAAGGTTCGCATAATTTTCGAAACAAAAAGGAAGGTCCTATAATTATAAAAAATTATAAGAAAGATTTGTGCAGATTACCTTAAATATATATATACACACATAATTAAAATCTGACCAACAATTTGCTGGCAATTAGATAGATAGCAACCATAAAAGTCAAACTCAAACAAACATGACTATCTAACCTATCTCAAATAAAAATTAGAGTAATAATTAATTTATCACCACAACATACAAGTTGCAAGCAGAAGCTAAAACTTGCAACCCATTGTGATCTTAGAAGTTGAAAAACAAAGCTAAAACTTCAAAAACAATAAATAAACTTATGGTGGTTAGATAGAATTCGGAATTCAGAATTGAACTACATACACACTTCAATTTCGGGTCTTCCTAGATGAAAAATTATGTGTCGAAACAAAATTGAGAAAGATAGGCAAAGCTTACAAGGAAACTTTGCTAATCAAATTATTTTACAAAATCAAATTTAACCCAATGTTCAAGTATATATATATATATAAATTTAAAAAAAATGTAACCCAACTCATCCAATTTCCTATTTTTGCTGATCAAAGTCGCTGTCACAGATCGCCGTCACTGCAGATTCGGCCAATGACAAACATGAAAACGAGGAAGACTGCTTGATGACAAGGAGACAACGAGGAACGAATCCTCACAAGCAGAAGAAGAGGGAAAGAGGGACTCCGTGGTCGGTGGAGATGAGAAGGAGAAGGGATGCTTTGTCGGCGGTGAGGACTCCATGGATTTCGGCTAGCATGGCCCTCCATCGATTCAGGCCAATATATATATATTGAGATCGGACCAGTGTATATATGACGTTACTCTTATAAAAAGTTTATGGGTAGTTTAGTAATTTCAGATACCAATATGAAGGTATTTCAGTAATTTTGACAGGTTCGTTGGTGTATTTAATTGTCCATCACACGCAAGGGAGGTTCATATTTTCAAAATTACGAGAGGTTCGTGTAATTTCTGAAACAAGAGGGAAGGTCTCTATAATTATGACAAACTATGGGAAGGTTTGTACAAACAAGAGGGAATGTCTCTATAATTATGACAAACTATGAGAAGGAGAAGGGATGCTTTGTCGTCGGTGAGGACTCCATGGATTTCGGCTACCATGGCCCTCCATCGATTCAGGCCAATATATATATATTGAGATCGGACCCGTGTATATATGACATTACTCTTATAAAAAGTTTATGGGTAGTTTAGTTTTTTCAGATACCAATATGAAGGTATTTCAATAATTTTGACAGGTTCGTAGGTGTATTTAATTGTCCATCACACGCAAGGGAGGTTCATATTTTCAAAATTACGAGAGGTCCGTGTAATTTCTGAAACAAGAGGGAAGGTCTCTATAATTATGACAAACTATGGGAAGGTTTGTATAAATAACCCTATTAAGAAAGCCCAACCATTTTTTGGCCCAAAACAGAAAATAAAATAAAATATAAGCATGAAAAATAAAAATAAAAGGCACAAAAACAAACCCTAAATCAATGGATTTCACATTTCTTCTCGAGCCTTCTCACCGCTTCTTCGACATTCAGCGAACACTCCAAGCCTTCTCACGCCACTGTTGATCGACGATTGGTTGCTCAACTTGCTCTTCGACAGTCGCGAACAGAGAGTCTCAAATTGCGAACACATCAAGCCTTCTCAAATTCAACAGGTTCGAAGTCCTCAATCCTCACTCCTCTAACCTTCTAAGTTTTCACTTCTCGGATTACCCAACAAAGTTACAAACTCAAGGTTTTTTTTTTTGTTTTTGTTCTGCTTCCATTCTATCGTCTGTGCAAATTTATTTACAGAGAAACTAATCAAGTGGCTCATATTCTAGGGTGTATTGTTTTGAGAATTATGTTGACAAAGTTTTGAATCTGATTTGGCCGAGGAGGTTAAATAATGTGATTTGCAATAATTTATGTTTGGCGTTTTCAATTTCATATCAATTGAAAATTCATAAGCAGTATTATATTGTTGTGTTTTGATTTGTTTTGAATCATAAACATATTAATAACTACTTGGTCCATACTCCATGGTCCATACGTGAGTCTGTGACTACTTGGCGATGATGATTTTGGGGAATTTGTTCATTTTTGTGGATTTCTGTTTTGTGTTCTTTTCTGTTCTGTTTATGTCTCAATTTTTTGTGTTTTGGCCTTATTCTTGCTATATTTTACAAACAATATTGTTTTAAAAAAAGTATTTTGAATTTTTTTTTTTTACAAATTGGTAGAATCTTACTATTCTATTCCGATTATATGATTCACTGTAGAATTCCGATTTTAACAACCTTGGTATAAAGCAGGATAAACTCTTAGAAAGAGAGGAAATTTGAATAGAGTTATTTCTAGAAGTTTTGATCTCTCTTATCTATATTTTTATGTATCTCCTCATCCCCGAGGAGCATGGAAGACCTTCAATTTTTTTTTTTTGCCATCCTTCCTCTGTTTTTTGTCCTCTTGGCTCCTTACTTGTTCTTGTTTCCTCAAGAACAAGCGGCTTGGAACATGCATTATGCCTATCTTTACTCATTGTCTATTCTTTCATTTTCATCACATGCTTATGCTTTTTAATTAAAATATGAGCAAGTTGTTTTGCCCACCACTTGCTTGGAGAAAAGATTCTGATAGTCAAGTCACTACAAAAGCAGTTTATCATTCAACGGATACATTTCATCAGAATGTTTTTGGTTGGTTAATTTGAAATTACCTTAATATTTATTCTCTCGGGTTTAGGAATGGCAATTAACCAAGGTTGAGGAATTGGCTTTAACCATTATGTACATAAGATAATAAAATGCACTTGCACTTTAGTATAATTTTTATAAGCCATTCACACATATACAGAGATGAATAGGGATTTGAGCTTTAGAATCTCTTGCACTGCCATGGCTGTAATGAACCAGTCATTACGATGTTGTCATTGTGTTATCTTCATTGAGGTTTCATTGTGTTGTGTATGTTGTTTTGTTTGCTCATGATATTGTATTGATTAATGAAACTTTAGTATGGAAAATGTCAAATCAAAGGTATGGAAAGAAGCTCCAATATTAACAGGGTCAGGAAGGCTCTCATGCGGTCCAAAACAACGGACTTTTCAACGGACCAAAAGTCAATTAGGAAAATTACACTTTATTCCTTTATCAAACCTAACCATAGTTAATTTACCATAATTAGCCAATACCTTTATTCAATCTATCTCTACTTAAATCTCTTCTATCGTCCTTGTAATCTTAGCCACTACCGCCATATCCACACCAGCACAGCCACCATCTTCACCAATACAGCCACAACACAACTACCAATTTTTTAGAGACCTTTTATTGTTTCCATGGTAGGGTTATTTGTGAGATTAAAACTAAATTGGATTGTAATTTTTAGCAAAACTAACTGTACAAGTAAGAAATGTAATTAAGATCGAGGATCGGGAGATTCCATTACCAGCATTGGTACCGTTTTATGCATGGTGATAGGAGGGGAAGATTTAAGACAAATCTAATCTTTGATGTTATAGTTGAACTTCCAAATTCTATTAATTGCTGACCCTCTAATAATTAATCAAATTGGAAGTCTTAAAATTTACTGTAGGGATGGGATAAAGGATACAGAGATAGAGTACAAAATCGATTTATTTATTTATTTTGTTATCAGAATTATTTTCTATTAAAACTACTAAAAGAGACCTTTGAATGACTAATTTAGATACTAGGATGTCTCTTAGTAATGACTAATGGTTGCTCATCTCGCATGCTTTGGAATAGAGTAATGGTAATATGTTGTGTATAAAACTTTCTGTTGGCAAAACGGAAAGGATGATCTTCATTGCATTATAATTTTCTTTGGTAACAAAAAGGAGTTCTTATTCATCTTTCTTAGCTAAACACTGAAAAATAAAAAAAATAAAAAAATAAAAATAAATCTGCTTTAAAACTGTTCTGTGGTCCTAAATTATAGGCACTATAGCTGATTGGGTGTGTAGGGTGCACTTGTCCTTCATATGTTGGTTGTGTTTCCAAGTGAGCAGGAAATTATAATTTGACATTTTCCCTCGGCTTATATGTACAAGGCTCGTCACTCGTCAGATAAATGAGCAGTCTTGTCAGTTGAATATATTTCAGACTACTTTGTAACATTTCATTCTTGAAGTGGATATTATGAGTTAGATTTGAAGGAAGCAACTTAAAACGTTATTTTACAGTCATGGTCATCTTTCATAACATTTCTTTACTTTTGATTTTTAAATCCATTTGTCTCGATCTTCCTAGGCTTCAGAACTTTTCTCAAGAATTGATCAAGTCTGTTGATAACGTACCTGCTTATTTGATCTTTACCAGGGTAGAATGGGCCGGAAAGCTGGTGGTGTTTATATAGACCCCAAAAAATTTGGAAGTCTCGCGAAACCTTGCATGAAAGAAACAATAGCGTTTCTTAATTGTTTAGCTCTTAACCACAACAATGATGATAAATGTGCTCGGCAGAAGGAACTTTTGAGTGCCTGTGTGGATGCTCAGGTGATGGACCGTTGATTCTCTGCAGTAAATTCTGCATCTTCTGTTTTGTAATTGTATTTTCACTGTTTTGTAATTGTTTTTTCACCCCTTCCAAAATCAATGCAATAGAGAATTTTCTCTTGATCTCTCCAATGCTATTAAAATTTAACTCCACCTTCTTGACATATTTTTTTTATTTTTTATTTTTTTATTTCAGGCTAGCAAACCCAAAAAACCTTGGGGAAGCATCAACTATCACTTGCAGAGGCTTAGCAAGGGAAGGAAATAATTTCTGTCAGAATGGATTTTGTTTGACGGACGTCATTTTGCAATTTCATTTGTGTCTAGCAAAGTTCAGACATGTTTTCAAATGGATTAATGAATTTATGGAGCTTTGTACCTGTAGCACTCAGAAAATTCACAATAATAACATATTGAATGAGGTTTTTTTGAATTAGAGCTGACATAAGTGCTGCATATGGGTAATTGTGTCTTAGGAAGACGAAACTGAATTTGCAAGTCCCCAAGATACTTCCTGATGCCAACAATTTATAGGTGACGTTATGAGGAATTTGTTTTCTGCAAGCTATTATATTTTCTTCCTTGCTGATGATTTTACAATGGTGATTACTCCCGGCCCAATACGAGTGATGAGAAAATTATGATACGTGACCATTTTTGGCATTGTAGAGATGATACTGCAATTTCTTGTATGATTTTAATTGTCGGGCATTGCGTTTATGTTGTAAGGGAGAGGAAATGTGGCACTTAACTTTATTCAACAGTGAGATTTACTTGCCAAGAAACCACACGCCCACTCTCTTAACTACTTGTCATTTTCTTTGTCAAAATCAATGCCTTACCCATGACCCAAATCTACCCTATTCCTTGTGGCTTTCATCCAGAACCAATTTTGAAGAACTACCAATCTCACCCGGTCCATCAGCCCCACATCTAAATAAGAAATTTTCACTTCAACCCAACCTAAGGAGGAGGGCATGGTTTGGTGCAAACTTATGAAGAAAATTTCATAAACAAACCCAATAAAATTAGGTCCACCAAAGAGCTCCCTTATTTCTCTTGAAAAGCCTAAAAATTCATAGGCCCAAATTTTCTCTTGAAAAGCCTAAAAATTCATAGGCCTATAACCAAAAAAAATTAAAAAATAAAATTGCTAATAATTTGTAAATTACTCTTATTTTATTAGTATACATAGTTAACTTTGAAGAAACTCTTTTAAATTTTATTAGTTTATATAGAATTTAAAGGAGAAATCTAAACGGGTGATAAAGCCCCGTTTAGGGGATGGTTGCAGCTACACCCGCTCAAAACTGGCCACGGTGTCATCCCTTGTTAAGCACTCGCATCATCGTTTATTGCGTCAGCTAGTGCCCAACACTGGTTGTTGGGTCAGCTAGTGCCTAACACTGGTGGTGCTGATATCGAATAAGAAAATTTCACTAAGTAGATGTACAGAACAAATAAATAAACTTCACGCCAATGGGTGTCACAAAACCTTTCAATTTGCCACTAATAACGGACCAAGTAGCAAAAATTTAGTAGCAAAACCATAACAGAATCCAAACATCTAAAACCGATGACCAGGGACTATAAAACGGGGGCATTAGAACCAACCGCTAAAAGTTCCAATTAAAACTACTATATTACTGGAAGAAACCGAACGACAGATTCATGCCTTTGCTTCACTTTCCTAATCAACCTCCTCAATCTTAGGGCCTGCACCACCACTTGCACCAGCTGGGGGACCATCTTCATCCATGGAGCCACCCATGTCACCGCCAGCACCTTGGTACATTTTCGCAATAATGGGATTGCAAATGCCCTCGAGCTCCTTCATTTTATCTTCGAACTCGTCAGCTTCTGCAAGTTGGTTGCTGTCGAGCCATGAAATAGCCTCATCAATAGCATCCTCAATCTTTTTCTTATCAGCTGGATTGAGCTTAGAACCAATCTTTTCATCCTTCACTGTGTTCCTCATGTTATAGGCATAGTTCTCAAGTGCATTTTTAGCCTCCACTTTCTTCTTATGGTCCTCGTCCTCGGCTTTGTACTTCTCTGCTTCCTGGACCATCTTCTCGATCTCCTCCTTGGACAGCCTGCCTTTGTCATTAGTGATTGTGATCTTGTTTTTCTGTCCGGTTGTTTTGTCCTCGGCAGAGACATTCAAAATACCATTTGCATCAATGTCAAAGCAAACAGTGATCTGAGGCACACCCCTGGGGGCAGGAGGAATGCCTGACAGCTCAAATTTACCCAACAAGTTGTTGTCCCTGGTTCTTGTCCTCTCACCCTCATACACCTGAATCAACACACCAGGTTGGTTATCCGAGTAGGTTGAGAACACTTGTTCCTTCTTGGTAGGAATGGTGGTGTTCCTTGGGATTAGAACAGTCATCACACCTCCAGCTGTTTCCAACCCAAGGGAGAGTGGAGTGACATCTAACAGCAACAAGTCCTGAACCTTCTCGTTGCCCTCACCGCTTAAAATGGCAGCTTGTACGGCAGCACCATAGGCTACAGCCTCATCAGGGTTGATGCTCTTGCATAGTTCCTTTCCGTTGAAGAAGTCCTGCAACAGCTGCTGAACTTTGGGAATTCTGGTAGATCCTCCAACAAGAACAACATCATGGACAGTGCTCTTGTCCATCTTAGCATCCCTCAGACATTTCTCCACTGGCTCCATACACTTCCTAAAGAGATCCATATTTAGCTCCTCAAATCTTGCGCGAGTTATAGTAGAGTAAAAGTCCACTCCCTCAAATAGAGAATCAATCTCAATGGTGGTCTGAGCAGTGGAAGAGAGAGTCCTCTTTGCCCTCTCACATGCGGTCCTCAGTCTCCTCAGCGCTCTGGGATTACCAGTAATGTCCTTCTTGTGCTTCCTCTTGAATTCCTGGACAAAATGGTTCACCATTCTGTTATCGAAATCCTCCCCGCCAAGATGAGTATCTCCAGCTGTAGCTTTCACCTCAAAAATACCCTCTTCAATGGTGAGCAGAGAAACATCAAAAGTACCACCACCAAGATCAAAGATGAGCACGTTCTTCTCACCAACACTGGTAGCTTTCTTGTCAAGACCATAGGCAATGGCAGCGGCTGTTGGCTCATTAATAATTCGCATGACATTCAGACCAGAAATTACACCGGCATCCTTGGTAGCCTGGCGCTGTGAGTCATTGAAATATGCAGGAACAGTGACAACAGCATTCTTCACTGTTGATCCAAGGTAGGCCTCTGCAATCTCCTTCATCTTGACAAGAACCATGGAGGATATTTCCTCAGCAGAAAACTGCTTCTCTTCACCCTTGTAGTTGACAACAATCATTGGCTTGTCACCAGGACCAGGAACAACTTTGAAGGGCCACAACTTAATATCACTCTGGACGGATGCATCACTAAACCTCCTACCAATGAGACGTTTTGCATCTGGCAACATTAAAAAACAAAAGCATAAGCATATTGGAAACTAGAAACAACAAAGGGCAACTTTAAACACACACATGGTGACATCCTTTATATGGCTTGATAAAATAGAAAATAGAACTTACAACTAACTTATAATATAACAAATATATTCAGATTCTTCATCAGATTGAATATGGAAGTAAAAGAGATGCACAACTTTGAATGCAGTTTCAGGTACCAGGTCTTTAGCCTTGGTAATTTATTTAGTAACATAATGCCTTAACATTACCTATCTCACTCATGCTTTTCCAAAGGAGATACACTTACTAAATAGTGAAAGAATGCATATTGTCACAAGAAATTGAGTCTGCCATTTTGTACTGGTACAAAAATTATGTTACTAGTTTGATAGGGCTTGAACGAAAAAAATGAGTTCCAAATACTAAAAAGTTGGTTAGGTTACATTTCAATTTATAAACAACATCAAGTGAGGTATCCTTTATGTGATTACACTTTTAATGACCACTAATTTATTCAAAATTAAGTGTTGAATTTTGTTATCAAACAACACCTAAGTCCCTTTAGTTGCACTAAATAGGAAAGCTGCTGAGGTTATTATAAATCTAATGATTCCCAAACTGGTTTATTTGACTTCTTTTCCATAAGAAAAGAAAGGTAAAAATTCTTAGCTCATCAGAAAGTGGCAATTCTTCTTTTGATTCAATAGAAAACCAAAACCATCCAAATGCTTATGGTCTCAAACTTTTCTGCTTTTACAGATAGAAAACACTTTTTCCTTGGGAAACAACTTAAAAAAAAAAAAATTGCATGAAGCTTGTGGATGTTGTCCATTTTATAGAATGGACACAACATTGGAAAGACAACGAAAAATTAACAAAGTTAGACTCAAGAATCGCCTGATTCTGAGTCCGAACGGAAAAGATATGAAATTAAAGATCCGGGTGCAACTAAGCACACCATTGGAAAGACAGTAAAAAAATTAATCAAGTTAGACTCAAGAGTCACTTGATTCGGAGTCTGGATGGAAGAGAAAAGTCGTCTCAAATGCCTCAAATGCCTAGACAAATCATAAAGAGGAAAACGAAAATGAAACACCCATACATCTAAATTTCAATATAAAATTACCAACAAATTCAATATAAAGGTTAACAAACTCCAAAATAATGCAGCAGAACAGGTGATATAAAGCACTCCTATTTATTTCCAAACGTTACAAAAAAAAAGATTCACTTTGTTCAACCAAAGAGATTAATGCTGCCTAAGTCCAACCAAGTTTGTAGTTTTGCCAAAAGTTTTGGAGATTAGCATGGCCAACAAATTAAACCCTAGCACTACTTCTCTTAAGAGAAAACAGAGGGAGATCTACAGATATACAGTTCGACTGCAGTTCGACTGTATCAGTTTCAGACTAATATTTTTATTAATCCAACTATAATCATATTATGATAAATACTTGACACGATGATGAATAATCATCAAGATTGTGGCTAAAACAAACAAAACAATCAAATCAAGATATAGTGGCTAAAAAAAAAACCAAATCAGTTATATTAATATAATAAAATTATGAGAAAATAGTCAACAAGATAAATAATATTCAATTAAAAAACAATAAACAACAACATCGCAACAAAAAAAAAAACCGAGGACAGTGGCTAAAACAAACAAAACCAAGCAAATCAAGATAAACATTATGACCTAAACAAATCAAGAATCTCTGGCAGCATAGATTCAACATTGAAAAAGCTACCAAAATTAGTTGAATAACAATATATTCTAAATGCGGCTAGGTTGCACTGAAAGAGATCCTTACAGATCTGAAATCACATTATCAAACATAAAGTAAATCGAATTCGAGAGGTAGGAGGAGGTTGAGAGTTTACCGAAGACGGTGTTCGTGGGGTTCATGGCGACCTGGTTCTTGGCAGCATCGCCGATCAAACGCTCAGTGTCCGTGAAAGCGACGTAAGACGGCGTCGTCCTGTTGCCTTGATCATTGGCTATGATCTCAACGCGATCGTGTTGCCAAACACCGACGCACGAGTAGGTCGTCCCGAGATCGATTCCGATCGCCGGACCTTCACCTTTTCCGGCCATTGTTCACCAAGAATCTACGTATCAGAGAGAGAGAGTTAAAAAAAAGGCTAGAGTTGGGCGTAATGAATAATGGAGATAGGGTTATGGGTAAGTGGGTTTATATAGGAATTGTGGGCCGTGTTTCAACCGTTTGATGGAAAACGTGTTCAACGAACGGATTGAGATTAATTCTCCGCATCTCAATAGGTCGTGTGTGCAGACGGGCCGGTCGACAAGGTGCATTGAGAATCTGAGACACCGGCCCAATTCCAGTCCAGGCTCGCCTCAGGCCCAGCTGGCCTTTCAATTGAAAATATCTTTTTGGGAAGTAGTCTTTGAATTTTTTTTTTTAACAAGCAAGAAGGGTTAAAAGTTAGATTAGTGAATGCAAAGAGTCGAAGTATGACACTCCAAAATTTACCGAAGGCATACCCACTGAATTATCGAGACATTTGCGTCTTTGAATTGAAAGATGATAACACATTACCTTAAGATTTATTACTTTGAATTTTTATTCTCTTTTTAAGATCCCTAAATCATGCTTATGTTAATTAGGTTTTTATTTTAGAGTTATATTTTATTTTGTAATTTCTGGTTAACTTCAATGAATTATAATCTTTGTTAAAAAATTATTTGAATTTGGTTTCTAAACCTACAGATTGATGGGTAGAGGTAATTACGAATTTGATAGAGTGAACTGGCTAAAAAAAAAAATTCTATTGATGACCATGGAAGAAATTAACAAATAAAATATATAATCATAATTACAATGAAACTTCTCATCTGTGGACGTAGGCCTACTCTGAAAAAGTCATTTAAATAAATTATATTCTCAAGGAATGAGCAAATTATATTCTCAAGGAATGAGAACTCTCTATTTATCCATATTGCCACTGTAAATAGCTTTTACCTGTACATGAGGGTATATGCAACCTCCATATTGTCATATTTGTTTCATATTTTTAAAATTTCTTACTTGCCAAAAAACTATAGCATGTCCACATAAATTTAGATATCGAGAATCACACATGAAAAAAGAACAAATACTCATTTTTATTGATTTTCAAAGATAGATATTCCTCTATAGTATATTGCAAGAGCTTGATGTTTGATTGAACTGTTAAAAGCTTTTTTTCTCAAAACATGTTGAAGCAATGAGTCATCAAGATAAACACCCTATAAATGATACACAATAAAACAATGATATACTCTCAAAAGATTCAAAAAGTTCAACACCACCGATTTAATGTGCTTGCTATAAAAATAAGCAGCAGTTTCATTGATGGATAAAAATATCTCCTTCGATAGAAACCGAGGATGATTACAGTTTTACATGTTACAATGGGTACACTTTAACATACATGTCAGGTTGTATCTTTCTGCTCTTCTTTTCCCTTTTGATGCGCTTCTTTTCAACAGTATTTGTGATGTACAACAATTTTCAACCCAACGAAACAAATGAGTAAATTAAGAGATGGGGCAGATCATCTTCCACCTGCCCCTTTTTCATCGACGAACCCCCCCCCCCCCCCCCCCCCCCTCTTAAGGGAAAGGAGGAGGCAAAAAAAAAAAAAACAAAAAAAAAACGAAGAAGAAACCAAGGCAAGAGTAATGAGAACACAAGTTATCAACCAACAACAGTATTTGCCGAGGATGGTGGCCGTGACTGCTAGTTGTGACTCTGAGTCTGAACTTGAGTCTCAGCTTGGGCCTGTGCTAGCTTCTGCTGCTCGACAAATCTATTCATACGTTCAAGCAACTGTGCAGCCTTCCGCTTGCCCCTTTCCGTGCCATTTTGTGCTAAATCCACCAGTGGACCCATCACTCCCAGTTCCTGAGCCTCTACCATATGATGTTGGTCTCCACCACAAAGGTGCACCAAAACTGCAGCTGCATTCTCTTTGTTCCGTGGAGACCCAGTCCCAATAACCTCTACCAAAAATGGCACTGCTTCTGCAGCTCCGATGGCTGCCTTCCCTTCATGATGGCTAGACAGTATCGCTAGTATGGCTAGGGCCTCATCCACCATCCCACCATGAGGTTCTGTCACCAGCCGCATCAGCGTGGGCACAACTCCAGCCCTCACTGCCTTTCCCTTGTTCCCTTGGTATATGCACAAGTTGAAGAGTGCTGTTGCAGCATCCTTCTTACCCCTTTGAGTACCTTCACTAAGCAGTGTCACAAGTGGCGGGATTGCTCCTATAGAACCAATAGTAACCTTATTTTCATCCACAACTGACAGGCTAAATAGGGTGGCCGCTGCATTTTCCCTTGCTTCCATGCTTCCCTTCTTGAGCACCTGGACTATACCAGGCACTGCCGACATGATGCTTCCTTTGTTATCCTCACATATGGAAAGATTAAGAAGCGCTGTGACAGCATGCTCTTGAGTGCGGGAATCAGGTGTTGAAAGGAGGCCAACAAGAAGAGGGATGGCACCAACTTCAGCAATGGCCACACGATTATCAGCATTGCGCTTGGCAAGAAGGCGTATTTCCCCTGCAGCAGATCGCTGATCTTCGGGGTTGCCAGATGTAAGCTTACAAAGGAGAGATTCTATCTTTTTACGTTCAGCAGGTGAGCATGCAGATATCTTCCTGGGCCGAGGGCTGGGTCGTTTTGGTGGTTCAACCCCATTTGCCTCGCACCACTGGGCTATGAGGCTACGTAAAACATAGTTGGGTGTGAGGGCAGTGCTAGTGAGGGTTTGTTGTGTCTTTGGACAAGTGCCATGCCCTGCCTCCAACCATTTCTCGATGCAGGAACGCTCATAGGTCTACAACAAAGAAAAAATGGGACCTGTTAGAGAGCAATATTGGAATTCATGCTGTTCGAGATGGTTTTCTTATTCTTCCTTTTCTACCACAATCTGATTTAAAAGTTTTCAGCCTGGTTGAGCAACTAATAAACTTGGTGACAAGGGTCATCTTTAAGATTAATTTCTAGCCCATGCAGTCTCACATGAGGGACCACCTAACTTCAATTCCTCAACTACTTGATTCCTCAGGACAATCACCTAATATAAAATATACACACGTACATATCTATTGGGGAAAATGAAATCTATTAAATAAGAATGGATGTAAAAAAGCGCTGTAGCTTATTCACACTTAAATCATAATTTACAAATGAATTAGTTTCCCTCTTGACACTATTTTCTGGGAATTTAATTATTAACTAGCAATCCAGAAAAAAGTTTCTCTTTTGGGTAGGAAAAAAGAGTTTAGTGATGAAAAAAATAAAAACTATATATGAGAATAAAAAGTAGTTGTAAATTAATTTATTAATTTGACACTAAGAAAGAAGGGATAAACTACACTGTTAAAATTCATCATCCGGAATAACTTCAATTTTAACAAGAGATCATTGGTTTCACTAGTTTGCATGAAGCAAAACAAATTTTTAGATTTAACATCAAATTTAGGGCACCTTCACTGTATCGATATTAAATATGAATGATATCTTTATAAACAGAATCAATTTAAGGGTTTATTACACTGACCTCCCTGAGGTTTGGGTAATTTACACATACTGAATCAATTTAAGGGTTTATTACACTACACTGACATCCACTGAGGTTTGGGCAATTTACACATAGATGGACTGTTTGGCGTTTATTACTTTGATTTCCCCTGAGGTTTGGGGTGTGTGTTCAACGACACCCCTGTTGTTATCAGTCCGGCATGACTGTTAACAAAAATTTTAAAAATGGCCATATTGCCCTTCCCTTGTATGAAAAGACAATATTAATCTTAAGTGTTGCCATGAAATGACAAAAAGTCCACTAGTACAAGCCCTTGATGTATATTACAGCCTCTATAAGTATATATCTCTTAATTATATTAAATAAAATATTTTAATAAAAAAAATTATGCTTATATTGGGTTGTAATGACACTACTAATTATATTACACAAAATATTTTAATTTTACTGTCAAATATTTTAATTGAAAATTTTCTTACTAATTTCATTTAATTAAGTTTTTCGTTGAAAGACCCAGTAAAAGTTCCTCCTGTTTCTATGTTCTCACCGCCACTGCCTACAACCAGCACCACCTACCGCCACGTCTGCATTTGTTTGACCTCTTGATTTTTTTTCCTTACTGGGTAGCTCTAAACCAATGACAAAAAAACAAAAACAAAAACAAAAACAAAAACAAACAAAACAAACAAACAAACCCATTAACATACCATAACAAACAAACTTCTGAACACCCAAAATATATATATACACACACATACAAATATATTCAAGTATCCAGCAGAAGACTTCCATTAAGAAAACCCAGAGCACCCAAAAGGAAAAACTAAAACCCATTAACATGCCACAAAATTTATAGATGTATTCAAGTCTCCAACACAAGACTTCTATTAACAAACAAAACTCAGAACACCCAAAAAAAAAAAAAAAAAATCAAAATAAACTCAGAACAAAAAAAATAAAAAATAAAAAAATTTAAACACATTAATGTACCACAAAATCTAATATATACATATATATATATATAAATCAACAAATCTCATTGCATCCCCACATACCTAATAGAAAAAGGCCACAATTATGCCTTCCTTTCAACAACAAAAAAAAAAATATAGTTTTACGAGATATGAAACCCTAATTTTTGAGTTGTGCTATCGTTGATCAATTGATTGGACAAAAACCAAAATATAATAGAAAATCTAAAAATCCCCGATTGGGTTGAGTGAGGAAAGAGAAGAGTTGGGCGGAGATCTCTAGTAGTTCGGAACTGAGAGTAGAGAAGGGAGAAATCAACTACCCAATGGCGAACTGAAGAAATAGAAGATGGGGAAGGAGAGAGGGAGCTGGCCTGATTTGATGATGAATCTCTTGGGACACATGATGGTTGTCAGCCATTGATAGGAGAGAGAACAGAGGTAGTCATGGTGGATGGTGAAGAGAGAGGGAGTAGAGAGAAGACGGTGCATGTTAGAAAAGTAGAGAGAGATTATTGAATACGTTTGTAATTCTTGAATCCCTTAAAATATTTAAGGGCATAAAAGTGTTTTTAGTTTACCAGATATTTGTAATATTATATATTTATTATAATATAAAGGTAATACTGAATTTTCACACTCAAATTTATCCCCCAGTTGCCCGCGAACAGGCTTAGGGGAAGTCAAAGTAATAATACTGATTGGTCCATCCATGTGTAACTTGTCCAAACCTCGGGGGACGTCAGTGTAATTTACCCTTAATTTAAAGAAGACGTCTAATTAACCATACTTCCAATTTTTTGATGAAAATGTACAAATTGAGTCAGAAACTTTAGACCTAATAATATTGAAAAAAGATAAACAAATATGTAAATGAACACAAATACACGCACACACACACACAGACTGTTTGTGAAATTTGTAAGAAATCTAATCCAAACAACCAAAATTGTAAAAAATTATAATTTAAACTTATGCATAAGAAAAGCCAAAAAAGGAAAAGGTTTATTTATTAATCATTTGACTGAGAACCATTGAAATTAGTAAGTGTTTTAGTAATTGATTTTAATTATCAAAGTACAATTAATTGCAGATAAGATAGTAATACATGTTATAAATTGGGAAATTTGTAAGAAATCTTTTAGACTTGACTTTTTATATAGGATACATATGACGCCTTTTTCTTATTTCTTTTGGTACAAAAAGATGTTTTGAATAAGCAGCTAATGACAGAAAGGAAAAGAAAAATAGATTATGATGCATTGGAATTGAGTAATCAAACAGCAAGAATTCCAAACGTGATACCTGCCCTGTTGATACAATGACGGGATCCGTCATCAACTCGAGGGATATTGGACAGCGAAAATCATCCGGTATAACCGGTGACTTGTGAATTCCTTCCATGGATGCTTCTCCAGCACAACCTGAAGGAATAGACTTCTCAGTTGTAGGAGGATCCATGTCCAAAATCTCTGTCAGCATAAAATCTTTAATTCTTTTCAGTAGCATTGACATCTTCTCTATTCTTTCCCCTGGATCTCCACCTACGGATAAAACCATCTCATGTAAAGCTAGTGATTCTTGGGTGAGGTCAGTTATACCCTTTAATTGTAACTTTTCAGCCAATCTCCTTAAGAGAACTGGATAGTCTGGATCTACAGCTGAATCATTGATCTTGTTGTAAAGGTAAAGGGTTAGCAAATCTTCATATAGCTCAACATCAGGTGCATCTACCCTCCCTTTAGCTCTTCTGAACTGAGAAAGAACAAGCTCAACCTGGATATGCAACGAGTAACAGAAAGGGAAGAAGAATTAAAAGATAACCTTTTCTGCTTTTAGGATGCACTCAAAACTATTTAACAACTACATATAGGAAAGGAATATTATTTTCAGATCTTTAGGTCCTTGGATTTCGAGTTATTTCCAAATTTGAAATCATCAAAAGAGACAGTTTGTAACCTAATTAAGGAGCAATTCATGCATCTTTATAACAATTAAGGTTCCCAAGGAATCATCCCGCCTTGTATCTTTGAATGAATTAACATGACGTATCAAGTATAGAAAGAAAATGAATTTGATGCATACTCTTATCTTATCACTTATTCAAAATATGTCAGCAGAAAATTTAAAGAATGAATTATACCTGTTCCTTAACTTCGTCTGATATGTCAAGTTTTTCATAGGAAACTCCACCCAAAGCTTGTTCCAAGTGGGTTGTGACTTCTTGGAATCTATTCATAATTTGATCCCTTTCTAGGACCTGAAAGTAATGTCCAGAACTAGTTTAATTTAGAGAGATAAAATACTAAACAAATACTTAAATCTCAACTATAAAATATATTTAATGTTGAGCTTCCAAAAATTGAACACAATGCTTAGAGGCCTCATGTCACCTCAAGTATTTCATATGTCACAACATAGTTATTCAACTTTGATCAATTCCAAAATTATTTCGAATAATTCTATATTTTCAACTTACATTTCCTCACTTTCTTATGGTAAACAAACTGAGAATAGAAGAGAGAGAAGAGAAATTGTATTTCGTATATTCCCCCAATTGATAATTATAGAATAATACAATAACAAAGGATAAAATATGCATTAAAGAGGGCTAACTAACTAAAGAAGGGAAAGTGCAATATTGCCCTTCAAAAATAAAACAAATCCTCTAACACTTACAAGCATATTTGCTCTCATATTCGAATTCAAAATTGACTCGTGGTCATAGATGAGCTAAAAATAGACCAGTTTCACCTCCATAATTTCTCTAGATTTTTTTAATTGTTACAATAAAGTCTACAATTTATTTGTCATTTATTTTACAACAAATTTCTCACATGATAATATCTAAAAATTTCTATCTTTAGATATCTTTGCAAAAGCCTAGAGTTTTATCAAATCATTCCCCTTTTGGAATTCTCTAGAATTGTGAACAATGTTTATGAAATAGTTCCAATATTTCTATAACCCGTGCAAAATAAAAACATGTTACAATTCATACATGCCCTTATAATGCTGTTAAACCCCTAAATAGTATGCCATTTTATGTTTTCACATATATTACCCTACTAGAACTTGCATTAAACTGCAATGTTTTCACATATATTACTCTACTAGAACTTGCATTAAACTGCTTTTGCGTCTGCACCTAGAGCCACCACAATAGTACAAATCTGGCAAAATTACCATAATCAACACCTGTAAATATATCTAGCTATAATCAAAATAAGGGTAACAGATACAGACAAAAGGTCAATAATTCAGAGTTCATAATTTATAGGGCCACTCCTGTAACTAACTCTAAGACTCGAGATAAAAAAAAGCTCAAATCTATCTCAATAGTAATAAGACTGTCCCAAAAAGATTAAATCCAAAATGATCTTCTATGAACTCTAAGGGGAATTTATTTTAGTTGATTACACTTCTCTGTCTCAATCTTGAACGGATGTTTACATAAGCTTTAATCTTCATTTGATGACAGATATTTCAAACAGAAAAACCAATTGAATAATGGATTCTGAAGATAATCAGAACAGAAAAAAGAACATAAACAGTTCCAACTATACATCCTAAACCCCATCTGCTTTCATTTGCTGAGAAAATATAGGAAAGTGAAATGAATTAAAACTATATTAATACTTATTTGAAGTAGGAACAGCAAAACAAAAAAATGGTCCACTCAACTGAACCTAACTTAACTACACAAATTCTTTAATTTTCCGCAAATTTTAACAGCAAAAGATAAAATATTCTTAATCTTTTCTTCTGTTTCCCAATTTTGTCCCAGCAAGCAAGATGGCGCATTTTCAACGTATTACCAACTAGTACAAGAAACAGATCCAAATCGAACGATTCATCAGATCATGAAACAATTCACTGTAAAATCAAATTAATCAACAAAAGATCACAAATGTATGTATAGCACGCGAGAATCGAAAACCTCACCAGGTAAATCTTGCTTCCTTCACTTCCGAACCTGAGCAAGTCTCTAGCGGATTCCAAAGCCTCCTTCAAAGAGGTCAAAGCTTTGAAGGACTCTTCAGGAACTAAATCCTTGCTATCTCTAATCTCTTCCAACATTGGAGTCAACAGCTTCAATCTCCTCGCTAGATTACAGTACTGCTTTTTGACCGTACACCGATAGTCTGAGATTGTTGATATTTCATTGACGATGTCGATTAGCTTCTGGATTAGAGCTCCTCTCTCGTCTTCCATGGCTTTAGGTCAGAGATCTAACTGCGTGTAGTGAGGCAAATCCAAAGTTTTCCGAATTTTGGTGAAGGAGATGGAGAGCTTCTGCTAAATCTGGCGGATATTAGGCGACCAGTCGCAGCCCGAAGTCGTCTCCATGAGAGAGAATAGTGTTGTGGGACTCGCGAGTCCACTGGCAGGAACCCTTTTTTTTTTTTTACAGAGAGAAGGGTCACGAGTGTGAGCAGAGAGACTTTTCCTGCGCCGCTGCTTGCGAGGAGTGAGCTTAACCATGGTTAGATTTAACATGGGTTTAATTGTTGCGTTGTGTCACGCGCGTTGTGGTTTGATCCGATTCAAGTAGTTCTAAAGTATTGGAAATTTGGAACCGAACAACAATGGAACCGACTGCAGTGATTGGTTTAGTTCGATTTGGTTATACACTTTTGAAATACGGAGTATATTATATTATATATGTATATATACTTCAAAAATAGAAAATCTGATGTTTCTATGTATTGTGGTGTATGATAAATAATTTTCCTTACCAATAAAAATTAAACAAGTGCGTTAGACAATATAATATACGGAGTATATATATATATTTCTTACTACGATTCAGGTATGTTATTTTGAACTCCAAACTAGAATTGAATCGTAAGTAATTATTGTTTAATTTTTAGAATTAGAATCGAACAGATCTAAATAGATTATAAAAGCAAACTGAACCATACGATTTGGTTCGTTCCGGTTTTATCATTTCTAACGATTTTTTTTTAAACCTTTATGACACGGCTAGTTTAGAGGGTTGTGCAATGCAAACAACATGTAATTGCGGAGGAGGATTTTGCATTGCTTCTTTTCTTCTTCTTTTTTACGTGGAGAGTTGAGTTATAGAGTTTTTCATAATTGTTTAGATAATGTAGAATGTTGTTTGAGATATTATTGAATAGTATAATGTTGCATTAATGCATTTGGTGTACAAAAATAGAATGAAATGCCCATTCTAGTCATTTATTTGTTTCGTTTGTAATTTAAAGTGAGAATGGTCATTACATTAGAATGAAAATTCATTTCATGACTAAACTTATGAAATAACCATTTCATTCTCAAATAATATATAATTTTTTTTAAAAAAAATAACAAATTCCCAAAAACTCTCGTGTTCTAAGAAAACCAGCATCACCACCTTCCATCACAACTGTCGCCGCCTTTCACCATTGTCACCTCCATTGCCTTTCACCGCCTTCACTGTCGCCGCCATTATTGTTGTTGCCTTCAGCCACTACACCGCTACCGCCGCCACTAACTTCCACCACCAACTTTCACCATTACCACCACATTCTAGCAACGCAATCTTTATTATCTTCCACCACCACCACCACCGCCGCCGCCGCCGCCATCACCACCTAATACTGTCACCTTCCACCACCACCACCACACTACTGCCGCCTCCACTGCCTTTTACTGGCACAGCCTTTCACCACCACCACCATTGCCATTGCTACTGTCACCTTCAATGCTTCCCACCACCACCACTTACATCACTGTCGCATTCCACCACCACCACACCACTGCTACCGCCATTGCCTTCCACCATCATCGCCTACCCCGTTGACGCCTTCCACCATTACTTCTACTACTACCAATGCCTTCCACCAACACCATTACCATCCACTGCCTTCCACCATTGCCACCGCCGCAGCCTTCCAACACCACCACCTATACTACTATCGCTTTCCACCTCCACCACTATTCCCTTTTGAAAATTTATAGAAGAATATTATTTTGTTAATTTAATTTATTTGTCACTAAGATGGTATTTTCAAAAATTTAATTTAAATTCTTTACATTCTAAATTTTAAATTGGTACAACCAAATACTATAATGATTATTATTATTCTATTACTTCACATTTTATATTTGTAACCAAACAATAGATTGTGAATGACTATTCCATTCCATTTCATTTTCATTTTCATTCCATTCCATTTATGCACCCCAAATGCAGCATAAGATTGTAGAAATTGCCTGATAAAAGAAGATTATATAAGAGTATAGAGTTTTGTATAATTTGTAAATATTTAGGCATTTGTCTAAGAATAGTCCTAGAAGCCAAAGATGATAATGTTGGAGCCAAATTGAAAGCTGTAATTCTGAACAGATAAGTAGTGAAATTTATGTGCTAATAGATGTAAGAGGGAGAGTTGATGTCTGTCTCCTATTTTTTTATTTTATTTTTTTTATCAAATGAACAGAAAAGAATATATATATTTTTAATAATTATTAAGCGTAAGTACATTATTGAAAGACCCTCATTTAGGGGTAATGTCATTGTTCACTTATTTATAAAAATAAAAATCTCACTTTAACTCGAAAAGATGATATTTTTCAATTATGTCAACGGAGACCTAAGGCCTAAGGGTGTAATTGGGAAAGTTAATTTTTGGTGGTACTAATTCTACTGAACTTGGAAGTCGGGCAGATGCTTCGATAGTTTAGTAGGTTAGTGTTTTCGGTGAATTTTGGAGTGCTAAGTTTCGACTCTCTGTATCTATTAAACTAACTTAATAATCCTTCTTGCCTTATACACAAAAAAAAAAATAATAATAATAAAAAAACCTTGAAGGTATGGAATAATACATTAATACATATTTGTGTTATTAGAATAAATAATGACCTAGAATTCGAAAATTGGACAAGTTTAACTTCTTTATGTAAACAAGGGATGACATAATATCCGTCATACTCGCATAAAATTAATTTGGACTATCCAACTTTCTATTATTACTTTATTAAAAATTTATGACACAATTAGAGAAAGCTATCAAGAGTTTTTATTTACTAATTCTGAACCCTGTCTATCTTGCAAAAGTAAGTTTGTTTATTTTATTTTAATTTTTTTTCTTTTTTTAATCACAAAAATGCAATCATACTACCTTTGGGCCTACATGAGTTTCACCCCCATTATCTTAAAGAAAAGAAATAGGTGGCTGAAAACTACCTCTTCCATTATTAAGTCAAAGGCATGCAAAATAATTGTGACAAGCACATTCCACTTCGGTTCTCATAAAAAACCTACGACAAACCCATATTTTTTAAGCTTCAGTCTTCATCTCTTCCATATCAACACAGTGGACCACCAAATCTTTTTTTTATATAATACTCCAAGCCAAATAATTCAGCAGTTGCCTTTAATCTTGCCTTAAAGGGTTTGGGGACGAAATAAAATGGACAGAAGCAACGTGCAACATTTTTCACTAAAATGTTACACGCAATGGACGGATGGATAGCCCATTTAGCTTTATATGTTAGAATAAGAGAAGCGTTTTTGTCACTAAAATTGTAAAAAGGTTAGGTGAAAAACATTTTAGGTGTTTTGTTTAGTGACATATTATAATAAATATTTTTTATAATTAATTTCTTTACCTTATTGTTGCTCAAGATCACCATCTCCCAAATTATTTTGACACTTACCATGCATGACAAAGTAAATTCATAGGAAGCACATGCAAAGTAAACTCGTATATGTCAGTTCATGTGGACAAAAGTATACAAGATCATATAATCACCATTTTGGGCAAGAATTAGTGATAAAACTTATACTATGGCATGAGGTCAACTTTAATTTAACTCTTATTGTTTGTTTAGGGTTGCTATCGCAGTCATGCTTGACCTTTTCGTAGCCTCTCAGTCAATTTAAAGATTGGGACACCACAATCGCATTAAATTTTTTAAAATAAAATTAGGAGAGGATCACTTCAGTCTAAGAGAGCCAGCCAGACTACTAAAACTCGAGCCGAATCAATTTAAGGCTTTTAAACACCTATATAAAGAAATTATTATATGGTCTGAAATTACTATATGGTCTTAGCCAATCATAACTTGACATTAAAATAAAAAATAAAAAAAAAAATTGAGATTTTTATCAATTATGTACGATTATTGATACAACACATAAAATGTTATTGTGTGCAAAAGGAGAAGAGAGAGAAACCAGTTTTTACCTTTGTCTGTTGATCAGTTGCAGATTAATTCGTGGTTAAAGGATCTGGACATTAAATTTAATCTCAACAAGGTTTGATATCATGAATAGAGGTATGTATATCTAATTATATTTATTTATGCGTTATAAGAATGTGAAATAAGCTTTTGATATTCAGCAACTTGTTAAAAAATAATTTAAAAAACCCAAACATTTATCTATCCAACCGTGAGGTAAATCGGCGGCTACCCTTTCTATATGAAAATAATTATGCATCACTCGCATACCCGTGACAGCTCTGAATAGGTCAGACAAACGTAATACCGAATCATAAAAAAAATTATCTACAAAAACAAGGAACCTCAATGTGAATGGAAGAAATATTCTATTCTGTCCAACTGTTTTTCATTTAAAGGCAATAAATTGATTGCGCTTTGTGGAAAAATTTTGGCAAAGAATTGACAATATTCACAAATTGACAACCAAGCAAGTGGTATTCTCATCCTTTTGCGCAGGCAAAGACGAATCATGCCAGTCAAGCTGAAGAACCAAAACCACAATGACATTAATGTATGTATATAACTGCCTATAATATATATATATATAGACATGTATATACATACATAATAGGACGAATTGAACAGTGCCAAGTGCTAAACCATGCACACATGCAGGGGCTATGTACAATCATGATGACGAAATTGAAGTGCTCAATACATAAGTGGGTACCACACCAAATTGGACATTGTCTCCTCATTTAATTCCCAAATGGACCATGCTTGGACTTCCGATATATATATATATATAATATGAACCAATACTAGCCCTTGGCTATAAGTAACTGGGACTTCCTAATTTTTTAGAACTAGGAATCAATTCATCTGTTTAATCACTTTGAACTTTAAAATAATTTATAACTCCAATTTACATCAACTTTCACAAAATACATTTATTATTTAAGTTCAAATCTCACCTGTAATCAGTCAGGCATTGTTCTAAAAGTGGTTCACTGGGGGCAATTACTCCCATTGAATTTTTTTTTTACTACTATTATACATTGCCATTTTTCTCATTTTGATATATATACCAATAAAAATTACCATTGCCCCGCTGAAATTTCTAGAAACTTTCACAATTAATGCCCCCTCATTTTTTTTCTGGTCCGTCCCTAATTGTAATAGTATTAGTCTGCTCTCCAAAGAGGAAGGTTTTTGAAATATTTTTGTTTCCAAGATAATTGAAAGGTAGAAAATAATTTTA